AAATTAACAATAGGCAAAGAAAAATCATCCCTTTTGTCGTAAATTTTTGTGTAGAGTTTCTGGTGTAAAACTGAAATGTCTAAATCTAGGAAATAACACTTATTGCTGTTAGTATTTGATTTATTTAAAGTAAGTTGCTATAGGTAAATTTTGGCAGTATATTTAGAGAATTCTTGATTATTTAACGAAAAGATATCATCAAGATAACGGTAAGTGTTGGTGAATTTCTAAATTATATGGAATTTAGACGGGTCCTTACTGAGTTTGGCCATGAACTGTGATTCATAACAGTACAGGAACACGTCTGTTATTACAGGGGCACAATTGGTGCTCATATAAATACCTATAATCTGTCGATAAACTTTATTGCCGAAACGTACATAAATGTTGTCAAGGAGAAAATGAATGGCTGTAATCATCTCATCACACCTCCAGTAAGTATATCTAGCATATTTACCTTTTTCGTTTTACGGATTTTTTTGTGTAGTTTAGGTAACCAATACATAGTGGGGACCTTCAAATATTCAGAAGAGGCCTTAAGCTGAGCTATGGTTGTGACATGGTTATTTACTATATGACTCTCTGTGGAGCGTACGGGCTTGAATGTAGTCGAATGTATATTTTTTTAATTCTTAAGGACTTCCGTGTAGTATTTACGTCATACCACCACCACATTGTTGGTTGTTTTGTCGGACGGAACGAACACAAAACGCTTTGCGAGTATTGAATTTGTTTTTAATCCTAGAAATGGGCGTATTACTTATTCTTTTATTTATTTCTAAATTACAAGTTTGATCGTTTTTATAAATATACATTGTTAATTTCCATTGTGTAGTGCAATGTAGGCGTACATATAATAATAATTTTGAAGCTGATTTAATAGTTTTAGGTAAATAAATTGAAGAAAAACTACGGTTTCTTATTGGTGCATTCTGAATAAAATTCGGATCTATCATAACTTTCATTCGTATACACCTCTATGTCTTGCATTGTTCTGGACATAATATTCAATTTCATGTATGATAATATAGTATCAACATATGCTTATCTTACTTCAAGCATACGGATTCATTTCATCTCTATGGGTAGCAGATTCTGCTGAACAAATATTTTTGGTTTTAAAAAATATTGGATGCCTATATAATTCTTTCATTTCCTTTTGTAGTTGAGAGGTTGTTTTATTCAATTAACAACTATTATTTTTGTATACAGGATATTTTAAAATGTGTTGGCGGATTATACAAAATAAATGGAGAATGTGTCCCCATGGACACAGATGATGCCCCTGCTGCATACAACATTATAAAGGGACATAACTCAAGAACAATAAAAGTGACGCTACCCAAATTTGTACTCGATCTTAGTTTTGTGGTAATAAGTATTGTGTATAGGTTTCATGTTTGGTTGGGGCAAACTTAAGTTACAGAACGGAAACTAAAATTTTTGCAATTTTTCGATTTATAAAGGGGCATCACTCAATAATGGTTAAAGTGACACTACCCAAATTCAACTTGATCTGTGTTTTATCAGTGGAAGGCAAAATTAAACATTGCATTGTATAAAGCATTGATTGTAGTTGATTCAACTATAATCATGGACAAAGGAAGATAACTCCAATTTTAATAAAATGCTCCGCTGGGCGCAGCTTGATACGACCGCAGAGGTTGAACCCTGAACAGTTGGGGCAAGTATGGACACAACATTCAAGCTTGATACAGCACTGAATTTTGATTGTAATTAAATATTTGACACAGCATAGGTTTCTGACACAGAATGAATGTGGTCTAAGAAATTTTTAATTTACCTATTCAAACCATTTCATTATTATTTGCTTTTATATATAAATCAAAATACTGTAAATTCAGAAATTATTGCGTGCATTTATTATTGCGATTTTGTCATTTTAGACTTAAATGCGATTTTAGTTTTTACGATTTTGAGAAAAATCCTGTTTAATTCATATAGAATATTTCAAAATGCGAGTTTAAATTATTGCGTTTACAACTCTGTCGCATTTTTCGCAATAATAAAAACCTTGCATTAATTTCTGAATTTACAGTAACCAATTTAAAATGGAAAATTTTAAAGAAAAAAAAATGAAAAAAAAATCCCCCCCCCAATTTTTTGAACCCCCTTATGATTCATCACCCCCAAACTCAATCCCAGCCTTCCCTTTGTGGTATGGCACCTTGCAGTACAATTTCAGAGAGATCCATACACTTGAACACAAGTTATTGTCTGGAAACTAGAAAAATGCTTGTTTTTTGGCCCCAATTTCCTAAACGTTTAGGGCAATTACCCCCAAACTCAAACCCAGCTTTCCCTTTGTGATATGGAACCTTGTAGTACAATTTCATAAAGATCCATACACTTACACACAAGTTATTGTCCTGAAACTAGAAAAATGCTTGTTTTTTTGCCCCTTTTTGGCCCCTAATTCCTAAAATTCGGAGGCAATTACCCCCAAAATCAATCCCAGCCTTCCCTTTGTGGTTTGGTACCTTACAGTACAATTTCAGAGAGATCCATACACTTGAACACAAGTTATTGTCTGGAAACTAGAAAAATGCTTATTTTTGGCCCCTTATTCCTAAACGTTTTGGGCAAATACCTCCAAACTCAATTCCAGCTTTCCCTTTGTGATATGGAACCTTGTAGTACAAATTCATAAAGATTCATACACTTACACACAAGTTATTGTCATGAAACTAGAAAAATGCTTGTTTTTTGCCCCTTTTTTAGCCCCCTAATTCCTAAAATTTGGAGGCAATTACCCCCAAAATCAATCCCAGCATTCCCTTTGTGATATGGAACCTTGTGGTACAATTTCAGAGAGATCCATACACTAACACACAAGTTATGTCTGGAAGTTACAAAAATGCTTATTTTTGGCCCCTAATTCCTTAACTGTTGGTACCATAACCCCCAAAATCAATCCCAACCTTCCTTTTGTGGTATTGAACCTTATGGTAAAATTTCATAGAGATCCATTCACTTAAACTAAAGTTAGAGTGCGAAAACTAATGTGTCTTCGGACGACGACGACAATGACGACGACGACGCCAACGTCATACCAAAATACAACAGCAAAATTTTTTTGCTGTCGTATAAAAATTACTTGAACAATGGCATCATTGATATTTTTTGAAAAAAATGAAAAATTGCTATTGTAAAGGGCATAACTCTAGAACAGTAAAAGTGACGCCACCATAATTCAAACTTGATCTGTGTATTGTGGTGATAAGCATTGTGTATAAGTTTCATAACATTTGGTTGAGGCAAACTTAAGTCAGAGAACGGAAATGAAAAATTTTGCAATTTTTCCATTTATAAATGGGCATAACTCTAGAAAGGTTAAAGTGATGCCACCAAAATTCAAACTTGATCTGTGTTTTGTGGTAATAAGCATTGTATATAAGTTTGGTTGAGGCAAACTTAAGTTAGAGAACGGAAACCAAATTTGGGACGTACAGACGGACAAGGGTAAAACTAAATGCCCCCTCCACTTTGGTGGGGGCATAAAAATATGGAAATAGCATCTTCATCTTTGCAGGATGCTGATATGGCTTTATAAAGTTCCATATTGAACACACCATCATTTGGATGCTGGCATCTAACATATATATAGACTTTGATATACCTTTTGTTTGGATGCTGGCATCCCAATTACATGTATATGCATGCAGACTCAACTTTCTCTTTGGATGCTGCCATCCCATGAAAAAAATTGGATGTTCATCCTTAATCTCAGGGATGCTGGATTCCAGTTGTAAGTAAAAGTTGTCTCAACTAACTGGTCGCCAGGCAAGAAACAAGCAGGATGATGTTTTGATAAGAAAATTGACAAGTATAGAAACTTCATATGAAAATAAATATTAAGTAAAACAACAGTGGCGCATGTCCCCAAGGAAAAGAAACCTATGGTGAACTGTAAAGGTCTTTTCACGACAGATAAATTGTATATGAATTAGGACCAGAATATGAAGTTTTCAAAATATTGAACAATTAATGATACGAGTTCAAGCATGTCCCTCAGGGAGAAAACCTATGTTAAATTATGACGGTGACTGCCAACAACTTTATTCTTTCAATAGGGAAAGCATTTTATATTACTTGTATTTAACCATTTTAAGATGTTTAAACCACTGACCTTTTTCAATATCTTTTAATTTTCCTAAAATTCAGAATTTTTCACATTTATAGGAATAATGCATTGCGAAAAGTCCCTTGTCAATGTAGGTTAATAAATTAATAGAGAAACTGATTTATTTTATGAATTATCATGACGAGAAAGGGGATTACCCCAGGGAAAATCAATAGTTTCATTGAAAAAGTCTTGCCATGCTAAGCAATAATATATATATATTCAAAGACTCATAACTCTACAAAAGTCAACTGATAAAAATTTTCTTGTAGATATGCACATTAACATATTATGTCCTCATTAACTATAAAATTTCATGAAATTCAGTTGTGTGGTTTCAGAGGAGTTGTGACTACAAACTGTTGCAGTAGTATATTTAGGCCAAAATTCTAAGTTCAAAGAGGCATAACTCCTAGAAAAAAAAATTGAATCATAATTTCCTGTCGATATGCACATCTACATAGTATGTCCTTATTATCTACAAAGTTTCATGAAATTCTGTTGTGGGGTTTCAGAGGAGTTGCGATGACAAGAACAGGACTGACAGACTGTAGTATATTGAGGCCAATAAGTTCAAAGAGGCATAACTCCTAGAAATAATATTGAATCAAAACTTCCTGTCGATATGCACATCTACATAGTATGTCCTTATTATCTACAAAGTTTCATGAAATTCTGTTATGTGGTTTCAGAGGAGTTGCGATGACAAGAACAGGACTGTCGGATCGACAGACAGGCGGACGGGTCAAAAACATTATACCCGACGCAATAAATTGCATGGGATATAATTAATACATAGAAGTATAGATGCTCAGCCACCTCATTTGAATCATGAAATTAAAACTTTTAAAACAAATTCTTTTCACATATATTTATTAAACAATTTCAAAGAATGAAATTGAACTTCATATAACAGCAATAAATATATTGTACATTAGAATAAATTAGATTTCATAAAACAGTAATAACTACAAGATGTCTGTATTTAAAAAATAACCTAACATATTTATCACTGTAACATCAGTTGATATTGAAAAACTATTTTCAAATTTCATTATAAGTGCTCCCTTTAAATAAATATAGAAGAACATTGTTCTAATGTCTACTGCCTCATAATTGATCTGTTCAAGTGAAGGACAAACATTCAAAAATACTTACACCTTACAATCATTGCCAAGCTGTTGACCAGTATAAACTTATTTGTCTTCTTGAACTATTTGCAGGCCTTGTTGATATAAGGCACGTTGATATAAACCTTTGATATAAATCTGACAAAGATGTAGGATTACAATGCAATTTTCCATAGAAGTTACATTTCAAAGGGACATAATTCCTGTATAAATCATTGAATGGCACTGACTTTAAACTCGTCTAAATAAAATATTACTGATATGAACAATCACTATTAATTTCATAAAAATCCAGAGAGACATGCAGGCTGGTGAGAGCTTACAATGCAATTTGCAATGGGGTAAAGGTCAGATGAACCTATATTATGAACCCTGACCTAGACAACTGTACATTTTTCAATCATACCAAACATCAAATAACGTTAGCCATTCAATTAAAATATCTTAGAAACAGACATAACTACATAACTATATATGCAAACTTAATATTGACCAATGAACCTTGAAAATGAGGTCACCATCATATGAAATCATCCAGACAGACATGTTCATCTTACAATCATATCATGCCAAAAAATATTGGCCTCATGGCTAATTGTATTTGAGAAATAAACCAAACCACAAAAACTTAACATTGTCCAATGAGCCGTGAAGAAAGGTCAAGGTCAGATGGCCCTGCCAGTAGGACATGTACACCTTACAATCATTTCATACATCAAACATAGTTGACTATGGTATCTGAGATGCCAACTTCAATACGAAAGACTACCCTTGATCACTAATCCCTGAAATGAGGTCAAGGTAAGGTGAACCCTGTCTGACAGACATGTAGACCTAGCAAGGATTCCATACACCAAATATATTTATCCTTTTACTCATACTAAGTGAGTATTTCACATGAAAAAAATACCTCTTTATCAACCAGTCACTGAACCATGAAAATGAGGTCACAGTCAATAAACATATAGCAAACAGAAACATAATGTATCTGCATACAAGGTGTTCTACCTTCTGAAATATAAACAGCTTCATACAAACAGTGTGTGCCATTGCAAAACATTTGAGAATACACATTCAACAGCATCATCATTATCTATAGTAATGAAAACATTACAGTATGTACAAAAAATATATCCACCCTTTTGTTGTTTTTCATTAACAATAGATAATAAATACAACCATGCAGATGAAATGAAAATTTTTTGAACAATAGTCAAATCAACATAATCATCTAAACATCGGTAAGGTAAGGAGTCAGCCGACAATCCAACCAAATCATCTTCAACCAGTAATGTCCCTCCCAATGCTGTCATTACACTATCTACACTAACTAACGAACTTAGTATTTCTGTAGAAAAGAGAAAATCTTCACTTAGAAAATAAGGTACATATAACATGAAAAAATATTAAAAGTAAAAAATAAGTAAGTTATATATAAGGCACCACATGTATACAAAAGGCAACAGGAGGTTCAATGAGAGTATAAAATCATTGCAATAACTATTCAGAGAATTAAAGTAATATCAATTTCAAAGATAATCAAAGAATTAAACCAAAGAGATACACTGCTTAGCACCTGAGTTCATCCCTGTTTATTAGTGTGGTTATATGTGTTGTTTAATCTCTGTTTTCTGGTGTTATTTGGACTAGTTTTCCTGAGCCTGTAGTTCATTGGTTGTCGTTGATTTAAGTCTGTCATATTTGTTTTTTTGTAATTTTTTACATTATAAATCAGACTCATATTTTCATGTCTGGCCTTAATGGCTGACTATACGGTATTGGTTTCTCTCATTGTTGAAGGTTGTATAAATGCCTATAATTGCTTTCATTTACTTCATTTGAACAATGGTAGATAGTTGTCTCATTGGCAATAATACCACATCTCCTTATTTTTATAGTGTTATTAAGCCATGGTGTCCTGTTGTTTTTTTTTTTTTATTTTTTCCTTGTTATCTTCTCCCTCTTTTTCAAACATTTATGAAGAACATATCTTGATTTAACAAAAATGGATATTTGTATACCATTGGAAAACTAGTCCTGATACAAGACTGCTTATCCATCATTTATTTTTGAAAACTTATATCTTGGAAATAATTAAAAAAAAAATGATCAAATTGATCACATTTTTTAATATATTTTTGTATTGATATGTGAAGAAAACAAACCTCTTTCTTTTTCATCAACTGTTCTCTTAAAGAAAGGAACAAGTTTGTTCTTTCCTGATTTTTTTGGTAAACCAATTACAGTCTGTTGGCTTCCTTTTGGCCTCCCTTTTCTTTTTAGTTTTGTTGGCATCTTTAAATCACTAAGGCTTCCATCTGAAATGAAACAAAATAGTTTGAAACCAACAATAATAGTACTTAACCTAATAAAATTTTGAACATAAATAAAAATATTAATCAGAAGTCTGTTTCAATGACATCAAACAGGTATTACTTACATTTGTTATTGTCATTGTAAAAAGTATGAAAGGATCATAAGTCATAAACAGCACAATAGACAAAAATCTAAATAATCTCCATTTTGATCTGAAAAACACCATCATGAGTCGATGACCATATCAAAATTTTCACCTGGTAGAATGGTTCTCATGTTATGGAACAGAAATGATGAACAACATTTAACTTTGAAAAGGATAAAGTAAACTTTTTTCAGAAATGGTTTTTAGCCTGCCACCCACCAGAACAAAATGAGTTATATATTCATGATATAGTGCTCAAATAATACTCCTTTAATCTGAGAATTGGGTTTTGCTCTATTCAAATGTTATACATACTGTTCTGATGAAGATCATTTTCTGTTTTTCTTTTGATAATAAACTCAATGAGGCTGTGGATGAGACTGGCATTATCTATATGAGACAATGATCGAACTTCTTGGAAAGTACATAAATACTGTGTAATACTGTCTCTTTGATCATCGCTCAAACTTCTAGTTCCATCATGATATTTGAAGACAGTATTTATAGGATTTCCTACTCGAGGTAGAACTTTTTTGGGGTCATACATTTTAATGAAATCCATAATTTCTCCTCTCATGCTTTGCATGGTTTCCATTACATCAGGAAAGAAAGTAATATTGCCATCCTTATCATTACAAATGTTGTCTTCAAGATCTGGTACGTCCCTTTTCCTTTTCCTATCATTTCCTTCACTTTCTATATCCTTGGTTGGAAAACAGTTTTTTTCTAGAAGTTTTTTTGCCTATGAAAAATAAAATAATCAAAAATCAATTTTATATACAACTAGAGGTGGATAACTCTTGTAAAAGAAGCAGGTGGAGAAATTTCAGAGAGAAAAATAAATTGAATATCCTTGTTTTTTTAAAACAATAGTGCCAAAAAAAGAGTTTTATAATACATGTACTATTGGCTAATTTAAAATAAAAATCTTTAAGTTTACACAGCATTTTTTTCTGTTAACAATACACAATATCTCAAGGATAAAATGTACAGGGGGATAAAATATCTACAGTTATGACATATTTCAGATTTGTCTTTATTTATAAAAAAAAGTATGCATTTAGAACACTTCATTAAATGAAAAATATGTTGAATGACCATCACTACATTGTTCCTAACAGTTATAAGTCACAACTTGTCTATTTGTTTGACATGTTCTTTTATGGTTCGACTGTTTTACAAAGGTGAATTCAAAGTTTTTTGGCCTTATTAACTATTGCTTCTGGAACTGATAAGATATCAACATGTTATAAATACCTTTTCCTTTCTTTTGTGAAACATTGGATGGAAACTCTTTCCTTTTTATTTGCTTCAAATATTGATCTACAAATAATAAGTATGAAATGTTCAAGACTATTAGTATATAATTATTTCTATCGACAATAGGTCATAATAGAGCCATTAGAACAAATGAAGTATTGATGACTGTTTACTGGTAGTTTGAATCAAAGATCTTGAATATTACAATTATTACCAAAATGTTTTTCCAATATCATCGACATCTTTACAAGATCATACAAAGTTCTTAAATGAGTACCGAAAAAATTTAAAATGGAAACCATCTTTAAATTAGGCCATATTTACAGTGCCCCTTTTCCTCACCTTTTCTAAAAAAATGTATATCTTCGATTTGTTATAAATCTATGATTATGACAATTTTTTGACAAAACAATATGAACCAAAATTTCTGACAATAGAACATGTAAAAAAATATCAAAAAGTGATAGTAGTTTTATACCTTCAAGTATTCTTAATACACTATCTACTGTCAACCAGCCCTCCTCTGTGAAATATGGTTTGGCTGCTGCCTGATTATTGAGATTTAATAAAATTTCAGCTGATGGTAGCAATTCCTCCAAACAATTCTTGACTTCATCTCCATCTATTCTGCATGTACCCTTTTCAGCACAAAGAGCAGCCGATTGTTCAGCTATTGTGTGAATAAATTCTGAAATATATTTCAAATAACTTAATCATGTATTTCACCTATGTGATGTTTAATACAAAGTACTTTTTGGGAATGAGACAAAAAGATTAATTGTTTCCTGCCTTCCTATCTATCCTCAATTAAATGTCTACCCAAATATATTTTTAATGTCTTTTTTTTTTTGCTAAAACATCATGCATTGTCTAGAACAATCCATAAATAAAATTGAGATTAGATAGTATATATGTAAAAAAATAAAATATTTTACCCTCTTATCTGGTTTTTTTTTCTGCCAGGATATAGACAACAAGTACCAGTATGTATATTTTTAAGCCTTACCTTGAACTGCTATACTAAGATCATCATTATATACACTAGCTATACTATTTGCCCCATGACTGGTTGTAGGAACTGAAACTGAATACCAGATATACTTATAAATTATAAAAAAGTAAATTAAAGTATTTTTAAAATTAATAAAATTACACATTTGATTTATTGAATAATAAATTTTGTTTCAAGATTAATTACATGCATTTGAACAGCAAAATATTACTATTGTTTATCAAACAATAAGATTTTGCTCAAAACTCTTATTAGGCATATATATTAAACAAATCACTTAATAATTAACTAGTGTACTAGGTTTTAAGATGATGTGACCACAAACTACCTTAAAACCAAACTTTGGTCTCTTGCAAAAAGTTGTCTCATTGCAATCATACCACATCTTCTTTTTTATATTTAACCTATCAAATACCAATATTCAGTGGAACTGAATTCTATGTCAAAATGTTTACAACTTCTCATGCTCATAACTAAAAAACACTTACTGTCAATACATTCAACACCAGAATTTTCAGGAAAAGTAGTATGTTCCTCAAGAACAATGTCAATACATTGAACACTAGCATTTTCAGGAACTGTTGTCTGTCCTTCAAGAACAAAACAGCTATCGTCTTCTACAGTAGATTCTGGAAACAAAATTATTTGAGATTAAGATATTATTTATAAAGCTGTATGTCTATTTAGGCAACCAGTTGGTTGGAAACATGTATTATTTATAATGCAAATCATGTGAAGTATTTCATTTGTAATATAACAATAGATTTTGTTAACCCTGGCCTAAACTAATAACAATTCTTTGTGTCTTATTTCCTTATAAATCCATAAGAAGATTTATCTTTTATTGGGTATTTCACTTCTTATCAGTTAATCTTTCAAGTGTTAGTGGTTGATTAAATTTATAAACCTATTTTTTAAATGTTTTCTAATTTCTTTGTAATTCATTCACAGTCCTCCAAATTAGTACAGGATCGACAGGAAATGTCCTGTAAAAATATATTCCATCCTGTCCGTTTTTGTTAATTTTGTACATGTAAATACATTCCTAAAAAAAATTTGGAGAATCATCAATTTGGTCATGTAAATGCCAAACCCCAATTTTTATGACTGCATTCACAACTTGTCTTCAGCATACATCTTTGGAAGAGGTCTTGTGTTATAGATTACTGTATTGTATGACTATGTATTTATTGTAGAATACATTATAGAATTCTTTTCCATGATTAGTGGTTACTTGTTTTGTTGAGTTGCTGTGCCATTAATGTTTATTAAAATATCCAGTTGTTCATTGTATAAAAGAGAACTTTTAGCTTTTATTATTTTTTTTCATAATCTATCTGTAATTATCATGATAACCTAATAATTTAATTACCATTTGAGACTGCATGGACTTCATCAATATACACTGGTACTTGTTTATCAATATCCAATGAAAACACTGCTTTTGCTGTGGATGCTGGAATATAAAAAATTGTTATTAATTACAATGATGATGAAGTAGTACCGAATATAATGGTACAACAGTGCCAGGGTTCTAACGATCCATAGGTATCCATAGGTATTATTTTACTGCAGAAGAAATATTAAGGTCTTAATTTTTCATAAATTATGTCCTTTACCAACCATGCCATGCCAACTGGAGCAACATTTATTAAAAATGAACACATGACTGAAACTTTTCTCGCCTTTCTTTCTATCTTTCTTCCACTTCATTTGAACTTTGGTGGATATCTGTCTCATTAGCAATCATACCACATCTCCTTATTTTCATATTGTAACACTTTGAGTTCACTTACATGAATCTTCAACTTCAACTGTGTGATTGTTTTTCCACAGCTCTTCTATTTCCTTCAACAGTTTCATTCTTGACATAAATTCTTTCATTCCAACAGCAGAACAAGCAGCTGCTAATTTCCCAGCAACAAAGAAGGCCTTCTTATATTTTTGATTCTCTGATAACACAGTGTTAATTCTTGGATCTATAACCTGTGATACATTGCTAACTTTGTTCGGAATGTTGCCAAATGTCTTACTTGGAGAAACCATTGGACTTATAAGTCTTGTGTTTTCCCTATAATAAGAACGAGTCCATCTGCCAACACATAACTCTGCACCAAATAAATCAATACTTATAAGCAACCTTGCAAAAAAAATATGCTTGCATGGTAGTCCCATCGACTTTCTAAAATTACATGTACATGAAATTGTATTAAGTTCCACATCATCATCAAAATGACTATTCCTGTTGGTTGTTTTAAAAATGGTCTCCATTTTTCTAGCCTTTTTTAACTGACCTAAAACGAAATTACTAGCACAGCCTGTCAAGAGCTGTGAATACTTATATTCTGCAGAGTTGGTACTCATTGCCTTTATATGAACAGGTACTTTTTGAATCTCTACACTACCTTTATAGTCTCTTTCATTTCTCAGCATGCCTATCAGTGAAATAAAATTTTCAAAAAATAAGTCAAGGCTAGAATACCGCTTTATAACTTGTTTCAGTTTCTGGTTGAAAGATTCAATTCTATTGTTTGTAGTGTTCATCAGAGATCCTTCAAAATAATTAAGCCCTAAAACCCATTCATTGCGTATTTCATGCCAGTTTGTTTCAATATACTTGAATATCTGCCTCGGACATGTTGTCTCAATCAGTTTTAGGTTAGCTTTGTAATCTTCTTCTGAAGTGCTGTGTACTAACTTCTGAATAAGTTCTAAAGCTACATAGCGCTGTGCAGATGAAATGCCCATTTTTTCTGTTGTAATTTCTCGGTTAAATGTTCTTAAAACATGAAATTTACATATGAGCAGTGAGGCTGGATTATGCTTTTGGAAGCATTTTATTAGGTGCTGCAGAACTGGCCTTTCTTCAGAGTTAAGCAAGCAAATTGCTGCAACTTCACTCTGTCCTAAGCTGTCTTCTATCATAATGACATACAGTGGCATCCTGAGGTCATTCAGTTTATATGTGGCATCAACAAAGACAATATCACAGTACGCAGAAAATATTTTTTGCATTTCCTCATCTTGGTAAAAAACTCCTTGCACTTGGTTGTTGAAATCATGAAAAACTTCAACTACAGATCTTACAAAGGTAAAACTTAGATAAACTGAGGTGCAATGTTCAAGTATCTATCATTATCAAAAGCAATATACTGGTACATGATTAATTGGATTTATTGTTTCCTATCAGATAAAATTAAAAGGTAACTTGTCTTTTGTTTTCTACTGTTCCTTTAAAAAAAATATATTCAAATAAATGCAACTGTTAACAAACTAAACATGATTTTAAACTCAACATATTTCACATAAAATGCATGCTAAGTGGATGTACTAAGATGTGCCCCCCCTCTCCATTCGTGTGGTGCTTGCCTCACCCTGTATATTTTACAGCTATGGGTTATGCTTAAGAGAGAGCTGTCTACATTAACTTTCAAATTATCTCTGGTGGAAAGTTGTGTCATTGCAATCACACCTTTTTATTTTTATAATGATGATTTGCATGTGTGTCGAATGTAATTGAAGTAAATGTACATTTAATAGAACTTGCAGATAAAAAATGATAAAATTATAATTATTTGGTCTAAAACTAATCAATACTAGTCATGCTAGTAGACCACCTTTGTCAGTAATAAATAAAATAAATGAAACATGAGTGAAATGCTTTCAACAGTTTAATATATTCATAATTTTTCTGTTCTTGATAACTAATTATATATAAATGTATTCTCATTTGTATCATAAATAGTATTAAACTAAATGAGTTGGTGCAACAATGTCCCAATAAATGTCTGTATATTAGAATCTTCAGTTACCTGTCTTCTTTAATTTACTGACAAGACTTTCAATGTCATCTGACTTCTTGCTGGCATTGACTTTTGAAATGATGTTGCTGATGTCTTTCAGGATAACTTTTTTTCCAGTTTTATCCTGCAAGTGATCCCTCATTAGCTTGTTGTTCACTTGTAAGGAAACCAGTTTTTCTGCTTCTCTTAACCCCTCTTCTGGTAGTCTCCTCTCACGAGGGAGCATTTCAAACAAACCCTAAAAATAAACATGTGTATGTATGATACATGTATATGCATATCAAGTAAAAATGAAATGTGAGTGCATGATAGCAAGATTTCTACATAAGTTGATATATACATGTAGTTATATAAGCTGGGTCAGTATATCTTGAAACATATATCAATTTTTAAAATAAAGACATTTAAAGGATGTTTTTTGGCTAGTTATGCAATTCTTAAAATTTCCTTGAGATTTAAAAGATTAAAAGAATTTAATAAAATGCATATCTGTTTTGTACAAATAGATGGGATAGATAATTGCAACAGCTCAATAGTTCTAAATCCACCACTGCTGTACATTGTGATGAACATTTGTAGGTTTATTTTGTTATAGTACATGTACTGTAAAAGTACTTTTGTTCATCAGTTCATGGGGTCTAATTTTTGCGGTTTTCGTGATTGGGTTCAACCACGAATTCAAATTCCCAAAGAAATGTAAAATTTTCATTTAAAACTGAAATGCTCTAATAATATCCATGAATTCAAAAACACACGAACTAAGGAAACTTTGAAAATCCTCGAAAATCGATACACACACATAACAGTACCTTCACAGTATTTCAATCAAAAAGGTCAATAATTTTTTTTACTACATCATCTTATTGTATTTTATAAAGCACCAGATAGACCTTAAATCATTACCGTTAGTTACCTTTGATATTTCATGATTATGATGGTCTTCAATGCTTTTGACAACCAAAAACTTTCCATCTTCTGACACACCCACTGAAATATATGCTGGACAACCTTTCCTGAATGAGCTGGAATTAAAAATTAATACCTAACTTATAATTTTATTAGTACATTGTACAGTCACACAAAATTGAGGTCCACCAGAATATGGCGGGAAAACACAGTTATTGTCCATTGATTTTCATTATCTACAAATATATAGCCCGTAGTATGATAATGTATTACTTCTTTTTTCATACGACTTCCCAATCCATTTCTTCATGTTTAATGCCTCAAATTACTCTGTACACCCTTAACTGCCACTCTCTTGTCACGCCATATGAGAGGGGGGTGTTTTAGACTCGGAAAAAAATTAGAAGCGACAAAGAAGCAGCAGACGGGGGAACAAAAAAAATGGGGCATGAATTTTTTTAATCTAAATAGCACTAAGTGATTTAGTCCAATTGAAAAAGGTTAAAATTTGGTATGTATGAGGCAGAATTCAAGACCCCCTTTATATACAATTGTCCATTAATGAGTTCGAACTGATGGTTTTTTTTATAATTTTGATATGATTTGTCCCAAAAGTAGTACACCACTTTGTAAAATTATAATGAGATTTAATAGCATTTTTTAATTTGAATTTATTGTCTAAAAAAAATACATGAATTAACTGTTTTCTGGCCAGATCATGATATTGACCAACATTATCATGATTATGTATAAAAAACGGCGCCATGAGCGCATGATAGGCCCATCACTTTTTCAACGAATAAATTTCCATAACGCCTCAATGCATATTAGAAATCTGTTAAAAAAACTAAAAGGAGCTTATTTTAAAAGATATAAACCAGTCACCAAAGTTTCATGAAAACTGCTCAGGTCTTGTCTTAATAGCTCAACAGCAAAAAAATAAAATAGCCTTACAAGCCCTCATATTTCTTTGAAATAATTTCAGTCATTAGCTGGTTAAGTTCTATGATCCCTCCCCCATTTTTTAACTGTCTTCGCCTAAATATGTCACATAAAAATCCTTCGTGTTCAACCTGATATATATATATATATCTGAAAAAAGTGGTTTTAAATTAATTAACAGCCTATTATAATTAATGCACAACTTCTTAATCATTTCATCATTTTTAGGTTCACCGATTGTACGTGAAAGAAATCTCAGTTTACTCAAATTACTGTTTATTTAGCTAGCTAGATGAGCTTTTCGGTCGGACTCGCCACGCCATTGTGTAGTGTATGAGGCCCGTCATTTTCGGGCGGCCGATGTCGATGATTGACTGAACAGACGATCTCTAGATCTCATCTTCCACAAAATAGTTATCCTCCTACCAGAATTTCTTTAAAGTAATGTTATAAATGGGTTTATGTTTTCAGTCCTTCTGTCCAGGCGAACATATGCGATAGGAACAGTAACCGACAAACAGTGTTTATGATTCTTGTTCTTACAATCTCCGTATCAGCTTCCTTTATAAGGAAAACCGATAACATCAAATGATAAATTACTCATTTTCATTACGTAAAAAATTTATCACCGACATTGATACCGCCGTGTTCAGTCATTATCCCGGCATTTCAGTGCGGACCCCTGCTGCTGCTGCAGATAATATTACACACGCGCAAGTACATGATAGATTTGTGACATGCGCATTGCAATGGCCGGACAAATAGCCACTCCGTATTTTTTACGGTATATAAAAAATATATAGGAAAAGCGCATAAATCTAAAACTGGTGACTTTTATTGTGATGAATTACAAAAATACAAATAAAACGAAACAGTAATATACAATATTATATTGTATTAAAGAGGGTTTGGGGTTACTGAAAGTGAGCTTAACCTCATAGCCTGCTGAAATGATGTCATAGACATACACTCTACTATTCAGATTGGTGACTGCACTTTATTAAGGTGCTTCATATGAAGGCTGTAAGCCTGAGTTATAATTTTGTGTCTATGACAAACCCCCATTTTTAATTAAACTATATATTGGCATTAAATATATAAGATATCATAAGGAGATCTGTCTTCCCTAGTTGCCTGCATGCAATAATACAGTACTGGTTTAATAACAATGCAAAATCTTTTAAATTTTTATTTTAATTATCAGTACTGGTCTCTTTCATCTGTACGTACTTGATATTGTCAATATCACTGGACTTGCTATATGCACATCATGTCATGATCTGTTTTCATTTCACAAGGAGATCTGTTTTCCCCAGTTGCCTACATACATTAATACATGTCATGCATGTACCACTTTGATAACGATGCAAAATCTTTTAAATTTTAATTTTAATTATACGTACTGGATATTGCCAATATCACTGGACTTGCTGTATGCAACTTCCCATGCGTAGGCACATCATGTCATGATCTACTTTCATTTCAATCACAAAACTTACATTTTCTGTATTACGATCATTGTTAAGCTTTTTTCTGTATTCAATTTTTATCAATCATTTAATAAAATCGGTTACATGAACTAGAGCTTTCTAACTTTCTTTTATCATTTATTACTTATCTGAAATCTCTTGGAATCGCAAATGATCAGAATGATCTGGTGCTGTTTGGATGTTTTGTCGCCTAAATTCAACCTGTCCAGTAACTATAAAGTGTTACGATACATAATACACAACACATGAATAGTAACCAGAAAGGTACAGCCACTGCTTAAAAAACACTGAAACGAGAAATGAAAACAGTATAGTTTTTAAAACAGATAAATATTCTGACCAATATAAATGTTTAAAGAAATTACTTAAAATGAGTTTCCTGTTGCTTACGTCTTTCATTCACGACAATTTGGGCTCATATTTGTCTCTAAGGCAATTATACCACATCTCCTTAGTTTTACATTCACAGTAAAATATAAACTGGCCTCAAGCAATCAATGATTCTATATTCTTCATATGAAATCTTGCAAATATATGAAAGATTGTCAACAATAAGTTTTTGTTGTAACATCACAATACTTTTAAAGTAGATATTCATGTAGAATATAGTGTTAAAAATATATTGCTTTCCTCCCAATGTTCAAAATGACTACTCGTGGTTGCAAAAAAAAAACTACTTACACCCTCCCATCCTTTTCCACCCCCAAGAAAATGCATGATTGTTTGAAGAAAACCTCCATTTAAACTTCACTTTACCAAAGATTTCCATACCAAGCCTGGTGCTTCTGCGTAGTCACAGATAAATCAATTAAAAAAACAACATCTGAACCACTAATTAAATCGAATTATAATTATGGAACAACACTCAGATCTATACACTATCAAATAAACAGCTGCGCCATGAGCTCATGATACGCCCGTCGCTTTTTAAAAGAATAAAGTTCAATAACTTCTCAATGTCATATCAGAAATTTATGACAAAATAAAGGGAGGTTATCTTAATAGATATAAACCAGTCACCAAAGTTTCATGAAAACTCATCAAAGCACTTTAAAGATATTGTCTGAAAACTGGAAAATCACCCCTTTTTTATGAATAAAATCCCATAAATCGGAAACGTAAAATCTAAAATTTATAATAATCGAAATGGAGCTTACGTCAATAGATATAAATTATTCAATAAAGTTTTTTACAAATTGGTGAAAGTGTTTCTGAGTTTTTTTTCTGAAAACTGGAAAATCCCCCTTTTTAATGAATAAAACCCCATAACTTGGAAAGTTAATATCTAAAATTTATAAAAAACGAAAGGGACCTCACGTTTACAGATATAAACAATTCACCAAAGTTTCATGCAAATTGGTGAAAGCGTTTTTGAGTTATTGTCGGACATGTTGACGACGGATGGACAACGGTATACTATAATACGTCCCGTAAACGGGCGTATAAAAAGGGTGCAATTTCATCAATGTCATTCGTTTTGGAGAAATATACCCTATTTGGAGATATTTCATGAAATTGCAATCCCGTGGGTAGATTCATTTTACATCTTAATTTATGTTCCGTTTTTTGCTTGACCCAAGTCCTAAAACATTGTGTGGCGATATTTACATTTTCTTTAATTTTCCGTATTTTATGTTTCATTCATTTTGCTATTTGCTATTTTCAACTTTTATAATCAAGCTGTCACGAGGTTCAAAATAAAAAAAAAGCAAGAAATGAAAATATCAGCTTTAAAGAGGCATGAGCTACGAGATATGGAAAAAATACTTTTCCATTTTGTTCAATCATTAATGAAAGTGAAATGATAATTCGCTTTTAGCAGCCAGTTTAGTTCAATTTTGTCAAAATAAGCTAAGAAACATCGCTGATTAATTATTCACTTGCAAGTGAATAATTCGACCACATTAAATGCATTTTTATGTGACCTTCAATAAAACCCCTTAGCTAGAGATTGATTAGGCATAAACTAGGCATGTTCAGCTAATAAAAGGAAAAGAATGTCAACATTGAAACTCAAAAACTGAAACAAAACTAAACCATTTAGTTGACCAATTCGATCAACAAAAACTCATTCTTATACAGTAAAAAACGATGATTAACATATTTTTTTAACATACAATATGAAATCAAACATATCAAGAAAAATCCAATTGCACATGTTTTCTATCTATTTGTATCTGTATTTATGTTTACATGTATATCAGGTTACATGACCGTCGGCAGTCTTGGAGGTCACCTCGATGGTTAATTAGAGGCGTCTAGACTAAAATACACACGAAATTCTGATACATATTATCGAGTTCATACATTGCAAATTGTATATATAAGACTTTTTTTAAATTGGGATATAAGTTTTAGTATGTTATAAATCAAATATGAGAATTTGAGTCATATCGGTGAACATGAATTTGACAGCTAATGCCCCTTTAAAAACACTAAATAACTAGATATCATTGAGATGGGAGCCATCTCTGTGGGCTCTGCTGTGAATAATGTGTGGTAAAAAATTTGTATCTTTATCATTGGACATGGGGTTGTCAACTAAAACCAAAGTTTTTGACTTTGACCTTTGACCTAGGAAGTTGTACATACATTATGACACACCCTCTGGTGTTGGTTAATATACATGTCAAGTATAAACTTTGAAATCATAACGGTTCTCTAGATATAGAGCGGTCACAATTTGTTAAGGACGGATGGACGGACGGACAGACGGAGGGACGGACAGACTGATCACTATAGGGCGTCTGCCATTCGGCGGGGACCTAATGAAAAGATGACACAAAGGCATATATATATATGTATATAGGACTAGCTTGACCCATAAAAACATGTAGCAAATTAATTTCTTCAAGTACAAAAATATATGTATTAGAGTAAATTTTATTTTAAGTCGATAAATCTATATGTGCTCCTTTCTTAAACATTATTTACATAGTATTCATAGTGACATTCACCCTTTGATATTCATACATGACAATGCAGTAAGGGTTTTGCTCATTGTTGAAGACTGTACGCGGTACCCTATAGTTGTTAACTTCAATGACATATGGTCTCAGGCTGGTGGAGAGTTGTCTCATTGGCAATCATACCACTTCTTCTTATTATTATATATGCTGTAGCTCTGGTTCCTTAACTGATTTGGGTCCTTTTCAACACTTGTATTAGCTGTGGAATCGCAGTGGCGGATCCAGGGGGGTGGGTGGAACCCCCTTTTT